TGTCGAAACTGCGCGTGTTTCCGACCGAATGCCGGTTCCTCTCTTCGATAGAAACGAGCCGCTATTAAGCTCGCGGCTCGTTTGCCCGGTTAAAACGGAGCTCTCTGCCGCGAGGATCCGAATATATCGCGTTCTCTGTTTCGCCTCGAAGGCGTGATCAGTTCTCTGTCGGAAATCAATTGTCAGGAGCAACAGAAATCCCATTACACGACGGTGAGGCGAATTTAATCGCAACAAGGATAATCTATAAATGTCGATACAAAATTTCTATCTTGTGTACACGTAGAAGCGAAAAAGCTTCGTTTCTTGTCAATTTGCGGAAAAAAAGTAGATCGCGAAATACGTGTCGGATTAAACGAGATATTTATTACAAAAATAAGTAAGAACAATGTAAAATATCGATATTATATTATATATTATATATAAGAAAGATACTAAATTTTGGAGAATATTGACAGGCGAATAAGGATATATCGCGTTTTGCGATTCTCTCGAGAGCCTTAACGAGCGATTTTCGAAGGAAATCGCATCGCAGGCTGTATCGCGGCAACACCAACGTGACACGAATACGATTCGCACCGAGCTGTGCGAATTCGTGCCGCGTTACGGGTTGTTTAAACTACGTTTCGGTAGTCTCGAGTAAGTAGAAACGATGGTCTGTGAGCAATTACTATTCGCCGATGGCCGTCGTCGAGCGTCTACGAGAACGAACTGCCGAAACAGCCACGCGAGAAATTGCGCACGAAAATAAGGACGATAAAAAAAAAAAAACATTCCGATTCGCTGTATTAGCCAACGCATGCTGGTAAATTAAACTAAACACTCTTTTAAAAGACTTTGTACTATAATTGAAAGGATTATTTTACCACGCAACAGACGCAAGCAACTTTGTAGAAAAACTTTAGAAAATCGTCTCTTGTATATAATAAACTAAGATTTCGTACAACGAGACACCGTGTCCTATCGCGACGCGTCGGTAACAAGTGTGTTCTTCCGGTTTTTTTCTACATAAGAACATCAATCGTTTTTCGACAAAATGAAAGAACTACAGGTCGAATTTGAAAAACAACACAGGTAACGAACAAACAAACAGTGTCGTAAAACAATAGAAAGTCTCCGAGAGAAGACGTTCGCGAAGATAGCGCGCTCGAGTAGAAATCCAATGTCGTCAACTAGCTTAGTTCGTTCGCGCTTAGCTTGTAATCAACATTTATCAGTGTTAATCTGTTTGTTTCAAACAAAACCTTCATTTAATGTATTTTAATAAATTAAAATCCATTCCGCTAATTTATGCCTTTTGACGAAGAAAAGAAAAATCCGATTAGCGAACAACATTCGCGCGTTTAAATTGAAAACGGTGGAAAAAAAAAGTTTCTCGAAGAGCGACGCGCGCATTCGAGAAGACTTTATTTTCTATTATTTTGAAGGTGCAGCTGACACGATCGCGGATTAAACGAATCGATTCTGTGTTTGTTCCTCGATCGTTCGTTCATTCAATTCGGACTGGTGGCCGCGCGTCGCTGCATAATCCACACGGAGTTACGTAGATCCGGGGCTTATCGCTCCAGGATTTCCATTCTGTCTCATTATTAATTTCCATGCGTTAAGCAGTCGGAGCGAGGATTAGTTGGGAGCGTCGTTATACGAGCTGTTGGAACTTCCTACCGTGTTTCCGCCCGGGTCTATTGATTTCAGGAAATAATTGTTCTTTGTCGCAGATGTACAGCATGGCGTCCGAAAGAAAATTTCGTTTCGACAAACTTTTGAAATTGCGTGGGCGTTTTTGTTCAAAACGAAATCAAGATTATGTTTTTTTTTTTTTTTTTAACGCTAATCCTCCTGAGGTAACAACTGATTAATCATCTCTTCGAGATATTTTATCTTATCTTCTCGCTACATATGTTCATCGCGCAACGCAATTTGTAACTGAGATCTCAGGTGAACTTTCCGACTGATGTCGATAACATCAGATGTTTTATTTGCGCGATACGAGTCGTTTATCGGCATCACTCGGAAAGTTCACCGAGGCTCAGTTACAAATCTTATAATTCGTGCGCACGAGAAAGACGCAATTCGAGTCTTTGAGTCGCGATGAGGTCGCGAGGATCAAAGAGCTTGTTGCGATTTCTGCGAGCGCAAAGATGCAAACTTGGTCTGAGTGGCGGTCCGTCGTGCTCGATGTAACGAATGTGTGCGCAGAACGCTCGGCTTTTTTCGTTTCTCGTCATCGTTGTCGAGAAACGAGCGTACGTACAAGTTTGCCTCTCTTCAAAGCCGTATGAGGAAAAAAAAACAGAGAGAACACACAGGCAAATATATTTTTACAGCTGGTATATATATATATATATGTGCGTCGTCTTATCTTCAAGATGTACTACCAACCGCGAAATCAAGATAAAGCGCTCTCATGGATTTCGCGAGAGGCAATTTTAGGACAATCTTTTGAGAGAGAAAACCTTCTCGCAATATTTTCGATAAAACGAATATTATTTTTTTTATGTAACATTTATATCCTTTTTATTTTTTTTTCTTAGATTTAAGTTTGGCGAAAGAAAAATGATTGCGAGCACGTTTGCAGTCTTTCAAGTTTATGAAGGTACGAGAGCATTTTACCTATTTTAGACACACGTGTGCGAGAGCGCGAGATATACTTCATGACCATATAAGAATACGGCGAAAGCGGCTAAAACGCGCGAAGGGAAGAAGGACGCCGAAATTTTTACGCCGATCTCGGTGACATATGGTTTGACGGCGCGCGGCTGTTGCTTCGTTTTATCGTTTCCGCGTCTATTTTATGTCCATCGTTTATGTTTATATTGACAACATAAATTGTTTCGCGATATTAAATTTCATTCAAAAACTCTGATCGATCGAGGTTATACGTATTTGCTATATTCAAAACTCGCATGCTCGAAATTATTCCGCCGCGGAAGTTGGCGAATTTCGACGTTACATATCTCCGACGAGCGTATTTGCATAGCGATACGTAAAAATCATCCATAAATAATTCATCGGCAGAGACTTTTGTCGCAGCGCGCGGTGGCTGAGGCGGTGGAGAGGGTGGTTTTTAGAGCCGGTGACCGTAACCGATTGAAAAGTCCTGGTTTAATATTCCGCGCGGGACGTTAAGTCCGCTGCAAAAAAACAAAAGAAGAGAATATTACGCGTGTCCAGCTTGTGTCCGGGCGACACAATCCGCGCGTCTCGCGAAACCACAGCGAAATTCTTTCTCCCGCACGCGGAGGAAGGAAGCCGCATTGCAACGCTCGGATGCGCGGCTCGCAGCGCGATGACATAGGTGATAAACGACGAGATCAGGATGACGTGTAACGGCGCGCGCGAGAGAGAAAGAGAGAGAGAGAGGAGAGAGAGAGAGAGAGAGAAAATGAGGTGTGCGACGGCCGAGAAATGCTGAGCGAAATTAAAGAGCGATAGACGCGGCTAAAACGCGCTAGGTGAATTCAGAAGGAAGGGAAAGGATTGCGAGCGCGCGAAAGAGAACTTGAAGGGAACAAACCGAAGAAAAGCCGGGAAAACTTTGTCTGACAAAGTGAACAAAATCGATTGGAATCCCGATGGACGTGAATCAAATGCGCTTTCACGTAGGTCTCTCTTTTCAGACACTGTACACAGGGTCCGCGTTCTCACATCTCGAAGTTCCACTCTCGCGCGGTCCACGTTTAAATATGTGATTGCCCGAATTGAAGATTTCAACTATTAAATAAGATTTATATATATAGTTCGTGTTATCATATCATGGAATGACTAAATTGTCTTGAAAATGTTGCGACGTGTGATTCCGAGATAATATTTTTTCACGGTGAAAAAAAAAAAATCAAGAAATTCTCGGGAAATTTTTTTTTAAACTGGAATGGATATTATATATGGAATGAATATGGAATGAATATTATATGAAATGAATATTGTACGGGCTTTAGTTACACGAAGCTCTCATAAGTGTATTCAAGAAATTTCAGTATGAAAGAAAATTTTCTCTACTTTTTTTTTTTTCTATAGCTCGAGGGATCGTGCTTCAGGAAGAATATAGTTTGCTCAGCAATGAACTTCCACACAAAGTTTTTATCATACATTTCTAATGGGTTCCGTTATGTGTGTGTCTGTAAGATAACATTTCTCGGGGAAATTTTATTTCTTAATTCGATTTAGAAGAACGATCGCATTTCCTTTTCTGAACTCTCACTCGATAAATCCGCGGAGCTTCGTCAAAATCTGAGCAAACTCATCTCGTGTTTCTTACATTATCGATAATCGCGAGAGAGAGAGAGATAGAGAGAGAGAGAGTAGAAGGTAAGAGCAAAAACTCGAAAGACGACACGCGGAGATTCGAAAAAACGGGACTAAAAGGATAGGAAAAGGAATATCATTCTGATCTGAGCGAGAAGAGTAGCGAACAAGCCGCAGACTCCTGCGATGCTCCAAAGGCGGAAGAAGGAGACGAAGAAGACCTCGGAGCACAAACGCGAGAAGGGCGAAATAAACGTGTAACGTGACGAGAGAGAAAGCAGGAAGAGAGAATCAGGTCGGAGCGAGACGTGCGTATTCTGGGATCCGTTCATGAAGAGGACAGCGATGTAGAGCAACCTGCTGGGGACGAGACAGAGGAGTTCGGAGGAGGATGAAACCGACAAGGAAAGACGTGTGAGCGGGGAAACTGAGTAGTGCGGAAAGAGAGAAAGAGAGAGAGTTAAAGGGATAGAGAGCAAGAGAGAGAGAGAGAGAGAGAGAGAGAGAGAGAGAGAGAGAGAGAGAGAGAGAGAGAGAAACTTTCCCAAGGTAGAGAGACCTACATATTCCGCGGGGCCAATGAGACGGCGCAATGTGGCGGCGCGGACTTGCTGTCCTCTTCTGCTCCCGCTGCTCCGGTCTCCGTTCTGAGCACGGCGCCGTCGCTCTCTGAAACGGCGGGACGGGCGGGGATCCGAAGGCGGCTCGTCGGTGCCGTCGGTGTAGAACGCCAGCGACGACTCAGTTGCTCACGAGCATCCGCCGACAAACGAACCATGGCTCGCCACATGTCGCACCGAGGCGCGAGTGCCGTGCTCGCGGTGTGTCGTCACGCGCTCCTCTTTGTGGTCGCGGTGGTCGCCGTCAGCGGTGCCGACCAGACCGCCACGCAGAACGGCTTGAAAGTAGAGAAGCTGTACGTGCCGGAAGTATGCGATACCAAGTCAAAGAAGGGCGACCAGCTGACCATGCACTACACCGGCACGCTACAAGACGGCAGCAAGTTCGACTCAAGGTCAGTGATAAAGAATGAAGGAACGACCGCAGATTGGATTGCGAATATGTAAATCGGTGGGACTGTGCGTATGTGTATGAGTAATGTACGAGGATCAGGCGATTTTGCAGATTATGAGATTTACGCGTACGACGTGAATGCGCTATAGTGAAGAGCGATTATAGCGGGATTAAAATGAGATCTGTAGCTGTCCCATATGCAAGAAGGAAATAATGATGATGTCACGAATTAGATACACGAACTGAATTAATATCATCCGACAGTTACAATGAGATTTTCCAGTGTCGGTATTTTGAAGTTTACACAATGTTTCTAAACTGTTCTGATAATTTTTTCGCGTGAAAACTTTTTAAAAGTTTTAAAATAAATTTGTTCTCTGGCAACTCGCAAATTTGTAGGCGGTCTAAAGCAAAAATGAGAAAAAGGATTTGATGATGTGCAATAAAAAAAAATTAATTTCACACGCATTGACAATGAAAGATACAAACGTATTTTCTTGGAATACCTTGATATTACTCTTGTTTTTTTATTTCTGACGCATTTCGATAAAAAAACGATATAAAGATCTCATTAAACAAATTATCTGCTTTAACTCGTAACTTCACCGCACTTGAAAAAGTTATTGAAGACGTTAACGATGTCACACACATAAATACAGCAAACGCAGATCGAATCTAACAATTTCATTAAAATCACCCTAATATTGATACAATGTTCTGGTATTGTTTAATTTTGCAATTTTTTTCTGCTCGATTGGAGAAACGGTTGAAATGATTTATTGTTTAAAATACTTGCAAAAACAAATCGAACTGACTATTATTGCGCAAATCGCGTTTTAGAAAAACTATTAAAAGCGAGAAATAAATATATAACAATAAAAAAACAAAACCTTCTCTTTGTCCACAAATTGAATAAATTCACAAATTTATTGTATGTGTTAAAATAGACTGTTTACATTTAATATTTGTTAAAAATCTCTCGAGTTTTCGCAATTAAAACAACAAAAAAATACATGTTCAGGATGAATGAGAACACCATATGTGTTCTCGAAATTAAAGTAAAAGTTCTCATTCGTACAAAGTACAATCTGTTGCTGCTGGTATCTGTTGCCGCAGCATACTCGCTGATAATGTCAGTGTGTGGAAAGAGTGGGACGAAGAAAAAGAAAGATGATGTCTGACGAGCTCCGCATCGTCCAACGTGGACGTGCGTTATTGGACGACAGAGCCGATGACGAGTGCGCCGTTCACGGTGGGACACTCGCGCGCGTTCGAAAGTAACTTCTCAGCACATAATGGGAAGAGCCTAAGTTTCCTGTTTTTTGAAACGTATACTTTCATATGGAATTCGAACGTTCGACCGATATAACTACCGCGGCGGAATAAATTTTCACGCGGCACGTATGGCGAATAAAATTGCAGATAATTGCAAAATATATTACGTCTCATATTCGTCATCCACAAAATACAGAATTAGCGGATTTATTAGAATCGGAATTTCATTGAGCGCGTTTCGCGTGTTTTTCGAGAATATGTGCATTTTAGAGATGCGAGCGCGCGCACATTTTAATAATTAGAATATACTTTTTTTTCTTTATACGCACATAAAAGAGAAACGTGTTTGATGTTGTAACGCGGCAGGTGGGCCGTTAATATCCATAAGCCATTTTTCAAATTGAAGCATTCCTGCTGTTTTTTTTTTTTTTTTTTTTTTTCCGTTATGTTCTACTCCCAAACAGCGCACGCCCGTCTTTCATGATAGATAAACCCATTCGCGTCGGCATCGTGTTCGCGCCACTAGACTTCAATGATCGGACAGAAACTGGTCTGTTCGACGTGACTTGGACCGTTTGAGGGGAAAAAAAAAACTCGAGTTTTCACTCGAATTAATTTTTGAAGACCCGATACAGTGTGACCGACCGATAAACTCGAAAGGAACCGGCCCGGAAAAAATCCAAAAGTGTCGGGTGGATCCAAACTCGGAACTTCCAGATTTCCTTCTGCATTTTAAGCCGCGAGATTGCCGAGCCGGTCTGAAGAGACGCGTAACTTGCTTATCAAAGAAAGTTCAGACGTTTAAAGAAATGACAGAGCAATTCGATCTGAAAATAATTCGCACATATTCGACGCGATAAACTTTTGGCGATGATCTGTCTCTTGAACTTTCTTTGGTCATGTAGATTGTGCTCCAAATCGAATTTGACAAAAGACCCGCTTACGGTTTTTCTTTTGCACGATATGCTGCCCGCGATTTCTTTTGCACGATTAACTGCCTCTACATCTCGAAGTGACAGTTCAGTTCGAACTACCGCTCGACCGGCCGGACGCTTTCGAGATGTCGAGACACGATAAAAATCTATTGCTTCCGTAAAGCGTCGAAGCAGATGAATGAGAGTTGAAATTTGTTACAGAGAGAAATCTATTTCTTAAGATGTGTAAATGTATTTTCGCGAATTGTGTTTTTATTTAAAATTTTTAGCAGATATATTTTAAAAAAACTCAAATGAGAGACAGACGAATATCAAAACTAAAATTTGAAAATGCGAGAAATTATCTTGTAAATATAAAAACGACATGAATTGTGTCTTCATGTTATTTTCATCGCAATAAAATTGTGCAGATAATGAACAGTCGCATTGCTTTATTATCTCTCTTACGTAATAAGTACTGCAGACGCGATATTTCTTGGAAAGAGATTAAGCGGATTAAGCACACTGAACAGCTATATCTTCGACGGCTTTACGCAAACAGATATTCTCCGTCTGATTTGGATTTTGCATAATTAATTTTTTGTTTTCGAATAGCGAGGTCATACTGAACTCGATAGAATTATCGCGCGATAATATACTCTTCAGTGGCAATTAGGATTAATTTTTGCGAACAAACAAGAGCGCGGTCTAAAAATTGCAACGTACATTTATCTCTTTCACAAATTATCATTTGGAAAAAAAAAAACAAATTATAAAGTTTTACATTACAACAAAAAAACAAAACATAAGGTTTTACATTACAAATAACGCGATCGATTATTCGGTGCAGCAGCATTTCGGTGTTACAACCAAAAGATGAGAGAATTTTGCTTCACGGAGCGAAGTTGCGTTATTAACCGACTGCCGCTTTCGAGCTGCCGCTTCGTCGTGTACCGTTTCGCTCTTCTTTCTTCTCTCCTGTTTAATGACGCATATTAATATCGCATCGTCTGAGACGATATTAACGACGTGCAACCGTGCGTAACACGGTTAACAACAACGAATTATGTACAATGGATTAATGCGTCGTTAAACGCGCGATGTATGTACACGTATTTCCCTCTCCCATCTCTGCCTCAAAATATTATAACTAATACATATAATACGCTATTTTGGTGTCAAATATATATCCTCTATGCAGACGATTAATATTTTGCCGGGCGTGTCGTCGCGTTTCCATATTTTACCATCAGTATGACATCGAAACATAATGGAAACACGCGCGCGCGCGTATGTGTGTGTGTGTGTGTGTGTATCTATGTGTCATTATAATCATATTCCAATTTATAATGGTTAATATGGCATAATACCGTTTAGTGTACGGAGCGATAAACGCAACGTAATATAACACAATATCGACGCTACGAGAGCTGACAGTTTTCATTACCGATTTCGCGCAAAGTTAATGAAACTATCGAGTTCGCAACTCAATCAATTCAACAGAGCGAGCGCACTTCGAGACGGGAAAACTTCTCGATCCGAGAGTGTATCCATATCATCTTCCCGGGTAAAATGAAGTTCGATATCTTCGCGATTTGCAGGTATCGCCGTTATAGCTTTCTATTATTACCGAGGAATTAATCTCTCGCGATGTATTAATGATCAATTAAGCGAGAGACAGACGAATATTCCGTCGCGAATGATGTACTGATAATGAATGGCTCGAGTCTGACCTCTTTGTAGCGACTGAATTGTTTCGTGGCCCGTTACGGATACCGTTAATCGCGTAAACCTTGCACCTGGAAAACTACGCCGCTCGTGAGTCGCGCGAAGAAAAAAAAAATTAGCGCAATGAGAAACTCTAATCTAGTACTAAATGTTAAAAACATTGTGGTTTTTTTTTATCGAGAATAGAATTTGAATTACTTGAATTAATTATTATTCAAAAAACCAATTTATTTATAATTAATTATTCAAATCACGTTATTTAAATTTACACGATATAGTTACGTTATAACTGTGAAAGTTTCCGAATAAGATTTTCTTCCGTTGTGGCGCAACGAAGTCAAAACAAATGAATTTGTTGTCACGAACAAATTCGAATCGCGCGCAAATTAGTGTTGCGAATAAATTATTATTATTGAGTTTCAGGATGTTTAAACTTGTATCTTTTTATTTGTTTCTAACTCTGATCAATTGTGACATGTGTGTCCACACACATAAAAATGTATGATAATTTAAATTCTACTTAACGCATACAATTTTTATACTAAAACGCATCTTTCGGAATTGCTATCTTATCGTAAAACGTGATTTAAAAATTGACTACTTTTTTAACTACTTATTAATTTCTGTAAATCGAAAATTCGACCAAGAGATAAAATAAGGTCGGAAGTAGTATCGGGTCATCACGTTTACTCGCCTATTGAGAATTACCTCCTCGTTTACTGACGCTCCAATGGAGTGTGTTTCTTGTCGAGGAGCATCGCAATCACCTGTTTATCGCTCCGGCATTCCGTCCGACCCCATTATCCTCTTCCGCTCGATGCTACCCTTCACCGCGAGAAAGCGAACCACCGACAACGAAAACCGTTGACTCCATTTGGCACGAGTGTAGTTTGCTCCCGAAGCGGATTCTGCGGAGTTTTCCATCGGATCCGCCTCCCGCGAACCGGGATCCTTTGCCCGAGCAAGTGAGTTTTTGCATCCGGAACATCCCGACGAGACTTTAATGCACTTCGCGACGTTCCCGCGCGAATTCCGCCTACTTCGTCGCATATCGGATTCTCTTTTCTTTACGGGGTGTGTATGT